TAGTTAGGAATAGGTCTACTGGTTTCTTAAGGTCAAAAGGAGAGAAGGGATCTTAAGAGAGGGCAGTGTCAGGGCTGTTCTGCTGTGAAAGGCCTGAGCCTCCTGGGCCTTAAAACTCAAGTTAATCTGTCAGATTACCTCCAGGTTTTGATGTCTGAAGGTAATCCTTAGGCTCCCCATGCCGGGTCTTACCAGGAAAGGCATCTGGGTCTGTATTGCTGAATAAGTCTCGCTGGTGAAGTAGCTCTTCAGCTTTCCGTGTTTTTCAGCCTGTGAAGTTGTAGGACATTCTTCCAGGGCAGTTTCTCTTTCCTAGAGTGGCTCATCCAAGACCGGCTTGTTCTTCCTGCAGTTTCTGCCTAGACTGAAAATCTTTCTCAGGTTTAGGGGACCACACATGTGCCCTTGCTGTGTGGTGTTCATGATGGCTAATGTATCATGCAAAATAGACCCCCTGAGAAGAGGAACAGCTACGGATAGCTGCAGACTGGGAAAGATTAAATCCGTCAGTCTTTGAGCAATATGTCTTTGCATTAGTTGAATAGAGCAACTAACTCCCGTCAGCTAAAAAGCAGAGAGCTCTTGGGCAATAGGACCTAGCTTTGAAAGCACTCAGTGATTTCTGCTGCCTGGTTCTGGCTGAACTTCCGTGATGCAGAAAACGCTTAATGCCCTGCAGTACCATAAGCCTTGCAATATCATGGGCTGGGGCTGCTGCTAGGATCAGGCAAGTCCTGTGGTCCTCATTGGGATTACGGTCATGCCACATGCTGATCAACAGACCAAAGTGATCTCCTGAAAAGGAGAAGCAGGCCCTCCCTGCTGGGTAGCCACCAGCATCCCCAAGCTTTCTTTTTGTCCAAAAGGGGAAGTGCGAGCAAACTGCCACTTCCTTCAGCTCTTGAATCCAAACTGGTTCTTCCCAGGCCTTTGTGCATGGTGCCGAAACTTTCTCATTCAGGATAGCTGTTCAAAACAAATGGTGGAGGCAGAGCAGTTCAGATTTGGCTTTGCTCTTCCAGCAGCTTACGTGCAACTAGTTGGTGGGTGATTGTCTGCCTGCATCCTTTCCTGGGTTCTTGTAAGTTGGATTTACATGTACCTTCTTATTCTGCCTTATTAAATTAGCTGGCACAGAGGAAGCCTCTGAGAAACCCTTTCAAAATCTCTGCTTCAAGAAGAATTCTAAAAAATTACAGTATTTGAATAGATTAAAAAAAACCACCAAAACAATGGGAAAAAACCCAAACAACAAAACAAATGACTTTGTATGGATATAGAAATATTTTCCCTTTTTTTAAACCTGATTATTTGGGGGAATTCTTCAAACAGGTGTGCTGGCAAGGACATTGCACACAGGCGGAGGTAATCATAGTGAAACAAAATTCAGTAGCTACTCATTTGCTGGATTTGGTCAGGAGAGGTTTATCAAGGACACTTCTGACAGGTTTTTTTTTCTGATGCGGTGATTTTTTTTATGTAAACAGAAGCTACAGGGCTTAATAATATACAACTGAGGATTATGTCCATTGTAATTTTTTTATGTTACTTTTACAAACTATGTAGTATTATATTCCAATTACTTATTTCTGAGACAAAGTGGACAATATTAGTTGGCATCTTGCACTTGATTAAATGTAAAACATTTTCTTAATTTAGTGATGTGTTTAGGAGAATACTGTAACTTACTGAATATACAACTGTGTTTACAATAATTTTCCAATTGCTACTGTTCAGTGGTAGCCAACTTGTTTAAGAATTAAAAGTAAGGCATACTGCTGTTGGCAACCTTGGAAAAATTAACTCAATGCTGCTACCACTAAATACTGTGGGATGGATACCATGGGTTTAAATGGCAGCAGGATTGTATTCCAAGCCTCTGACTTAAGTACTTACAACTAAAAGGCGACTTGCCTTGTGCTCATTTATGTATCCCTGTGTGTAGTACATCAGTTAGAAATCTGTTAACAATTGATCTGTAACACTAGGAGCTTTATGGAGATCACAGTGGGTTTTTTGTTTGTTTTTGTTTGTTTCTGAACAGACACTTAGACATTTTGGAATGTATAACATTGATCCTTGTGCTGGAATTGTTTACATGCAAAAAGGTATTTATGATTTTTTGCAAACTGCAATGTGCAATTTTGTACATGTGTTTTAAACTAAAGAGTTTATAAGGAAGATATTGTATGTACAGTACTTGGACATGAGTATTATTTCTTTGATATAAATATCTAGAGGAAAATTAAAATTGCTTTATATTCATATTTTAGGCTGTGTTTTTCATTATTTCAGCAAGAAATCTAAAAGTCAGCTTAAGGCATAGTTGTCATTTTGTTGGAAAATCCAAGAAGAATTTGCTGATCTGGGCTTTTTTTAGAATATTTTTTAATCATGCTTAATATGCTGTTTCTTTTGATTGTATCAACATTTTGAAGTGCAAGGGAGGAAGAATTTCTTCTTGTAAAAATGCTGCTCTTCAGGATAACTTCCCTATATGCTAGAGCAGGTGCAACTCAAAAAGTAAACTTCTGTAAAGAGCAAAAGAGGAGAAGAGAAAGTCCAGCTCTGGTGACGCCACATTTCAGGCCATTGCTAAAAAAAGCTGACTGGAGTCGTCAGTACTGTGGGATGGGACTCCACTTGCCCATGTCTTGACTTTTCTGTTTCAGCAGAATGACCGATGGTAAAGACATTTTGCCATTTAAACTGTTCTGAAGCCACATCTGGAGCAAATCTGTTGAATAAGGCAACTCTTTTTCTTTCCCGTGATCATTCTTAGGCCTGTTGCTACATCCTGACATATTCCCAAAGGAGAACTACTCAGTAAACATCGCCACTTGCTAAAAACACTTCTGAAGTCCCAGTTGAAAGCTCCCCTGCTCTGGGAAGGCAGCCCTGCCTTCCGGATATGTCCTTCCAAACCAAGTGACAAGGGGAAGGACTGAGTGCCAAGCCCCACCAAGAATGCTCCAAGGATGCCAAGTTCAAGCAAGAGCTGAGAAGCGCGGCAGTGCTGGTGGCGTTGGCTGTGCCAGCCCACGCCCCAGCACACAGCTGGACCCTGGCTTGTTCTCTAGAGGTGCATGGGTTCCAGACCTGACGCTGAATAAATGGTAGAAGGACTGGTTTCTTCTGGTTAAGAATATGAGTACCAAGATTTCAGAAGCATGCAAAAGTTAGAGGGGGGGAAGAAAAAGGAAGCTGTGAGCACGTTGTAGTTCAAGCTGTTGTACGTTGGCACTTACGGTTTCTGACCGCATAATCAGTTTGGTGTGGGATTACTGTGACTTCTAAATGTGAACCACACCTCCTTCAATGCTCTGGGAGTTACTTAATGCTTTTTAATCTCCATGTTGTGCATGGCTGCAGGCTGTGTTTTGCACATGCTAGCCAGACCACTCCTTGCAGATTTCCACTCCACTCTGCTACAGATTTCTTCCTGGGAGAGTGTGTAGCACTCTTGCAATAATCTCAATGCTTTCCAAATTAAATACAGAGGGGAGTCAGAACAACAAGATGGTGAAAGCCTTTAATGCTTTGATAGATGCTTGAGGGTATTGTTGCTAATTTTGGATGTCAAGTTAAGCTTCAGAGCCTAGTTCCATAGAGAAGTGTTTTGAGGTATAGGAACTGATCTACTTGTTCTCTTTAACTTTCAGTTCTTCTGGCCTTGAGCATCTCAGAGTGGTGCCTTCAGAAGTGCTCAGAGGAGAGATCGTTTAGACTGATTGTGCTCTATTATCCACAGGGTGTGGACTAAAAGCTGGGTGCTTTGCATTGGTTGAATAACCTGCAGGATCGTGTTCACTTTTTTTTGCTTCTGAGATAGTGCGTGTCCTGATTTCAGCTGGGATAGAGTTAGTTTTCTTCTTAGTAGCTGGTAGAGTGCTGTGTTTTGGATTTAGGATGAGAATAATGTTGATAACACACTGATGTTTTGGTTCTTGCTGAGCAGAGTTTACACTAGTCAAGGACTTTTCAGCTTCTTGTGCTCTGCCAGGTGCATAA